CATTTTTGTCTGTTTTGCATGTTAGATAAAGTTATATTTCACTCTTGAACATAAACTATTATATTTTAACTCGAAGCAACGTCACTCATGTTATTATTACATCTGGTGTTCATTCCGTGAAATACATTTCATTTCGGTCTTACATGCAAAGAAAAAAAAATGTTTTTTTTTCTCGTGTTTTTCTTCTTTTTACATTTTCCTTACCTATGTATTTACCAAAAACATTGGTTCTTAGTACCCTTAATTTCAGATTATAACAAACAATTTTTTTTTATTTAAAAGAAAATAATAAATCTTCTTTTAAAAATATTTATTCTTCGTTTGTAAATACACATAGTCAAAAACCTTATAGTTGTCTAAATTTTTGTACTTTATACCTTGGTCTGTTTATTTTGTCATACATAATACTACCTCCTACACTGGTAATAAAACTAGGCCGTTTACCGAGACGTATTTATACGCCTCGAGTTTATTCAATGAATCTGTAAATACGACATTTAACTTCAATAAATCTTCAATCAAAGTATTTTTATAATATTATTATAATGGCACTTTTAACCTTTCGATGATAGCAATTTTCTCCCGGTCCGATTTGGATAAATCTTACTATTTGGTACGTATGAAAAAGATATAGACCTTTTTACGATAAGTAAATCGATTGGAATAGTATTTCTCTCGCATGCGCAATCTGCGTAACGCAAAAAAGAGCATCGCCCTACATAGAAATACAGTCGCTATTCTGGCCCTTTCAGATCAATATTGGGAGTTTACTTTTAAGACTTTTTAAGTATTGACTTTTTGTATTTTCTGATCGCAGATCAGGAAATACAATGCTGACATTCAATATATGAAACAGCGCTTCCCGACAATCCTAACAATAAAAAGTAGTTCTCAAAACAGCTTAAAACTAGCGATGTAAAAGAAAGACATATTTTTATTTTGTTAAAAGTATCTTACGAGTTATAACGCATTCAAACTTTTTACAACTCCGTATGTATCAAACTCAAACTGTTATAGCAAAAAATCTAAATGCATTTGCTGCAACTCGGTGCCTTGCAAGATGAATGATGGTATATCAAAATAAACTTATACAGGAAAATACATACAGATATACAGTACGATTTAGATGGCAAAAATCAGAAAATATCACAGAGCTTGCAGCCCTTTGATTATATTTGTCTCTACTCCTTGACAAATTTTAATATGTTTTAATTAGAGTGATGTCAGCATTATACGATACGATAATGGCCCGAAGATGAACATAACGGCCTGAGGGCTATAGGCCCGAAAGACTTTATGGATTCGTCTCAAATCTAGCTCAAAGTGCCCGCGATCTTTTCCCTGTCTTGTAGATGGTTCTAGTTTTTGCCGAATAGTTTCTTAAGATTTTTTTCCAGAAAATAATTGACGTTAACAAAAAACAAATGACGTAACATAATTTTCATAATATATGCAATATTAGAGCAAATTAGACAATATGATATACAAAATAATGATAATGATGTGTGTTTATCTACAACTTATGGAATACCAATATACAAATATCGCTCACATTAAATTTAAACATGACAACAGAAATAGCAAAAAAATAACATATGATATCTCACGTGTAATAGTTAACAGCGTTTCTCGAGTAAACAATAACATATAATAGGGTTTATTGACTTGTTTATATAAGAAGAAAAAAGACTGTTTTGATGATAAAGTCCATTTATATCTGGAACACGATCTGTTCTACCTGTTCTTTTTTCCTCGATCATTCAGGTATATTTGACTATTTTAATTACAACACGGCAAGCCCTCACTAACTTGATAAAAAAATACGTGAAGTTACTAATTAGGAAAACCTTACATGAAGTGTTATCCTGCACACACCTTGTAAACAACGATAAAGTTAAACATACTGTATTGATAAATAGTGTCAGAGTGTCCTCGGGGAAATATATTGGCTTCAGTTAGGGAGCGAGGTTGTTTACATCATTTGCACAAAAATCACCATTTGACATTTGACTCAGTTCTTCGTTGACAATGATGTTCACACTTTGCATTGTAACATTCATGTTTTTTGTTATAATAGCGTTGCTTTATAATGAACGAACTATATCAATTTGTGGAGCTGAGATGAGAAGTTTGTTTTTGGGTTTTTACGTCACATCGACACAGTATAGGTCATATTGCGACGTTCCAGCTTTACTGGTGGAGGAAGACCTCAGGTGCCCTTCCGTGCATTATTTCAGGCACGAACGGGCACCTGAGTAGAACCACCGACGTTCCGTAAGCTAGCTGGATAGCCTGAGATGAGAAGATATTGGAGATCTTTGCGAACTACACATTTCTTCTTCAACGTTATCACTACAACTTGGTCGTGTACAGGCAAATAACGCCAGTATGCATGACCGTATTATACAACATTTATTCAGTTTTCTATGTTTTCAGGTAAGTGATAAAGGAAGAAGAAAAAACGGTTCACCATTATGATTGACAGAGGACTGTGAGATTCCCAATCCCCGAGCGATCGGATCCATCGAGAACTGGTCAATACTCGTTCTTTACGGTTGCTTCAACTACCACGGGTTGGGATTTTTCTATCTAATTTATTTTATGCTGTAAGAACAAATTGTATCTAAAGTGGTTCAGTATGTACAACATAATTATGTTTCTAACAAAAGAACAAATATCAGCCTTGCTAACCGTGATTCGAGTATGCAAAAATATAGATATACTGATCTTTATAGAATCATTAAAAGATATACTTTTTGTCGAGCCCGCTTGCAGTGAGCTCGACCATAGTCGTCATATTGTGCGTATTTTTCGGGGTATTTGCGTCCGTGCGTCAGTTCGTCCGTCAGTCCGTGAGTCCGAAATTGTCCGGTCTGTATCTTGCTCATTCTTTGAAGTATTACAAAATAATTTGATTGATATGTTCACCATGATGGGGTGATGTGTTGCACACAAAACTCAGGTCTGCTGCATTAAGGTCAAGATCACACTTGGGCGTGAATACATAACCCGTGTCCGGTTTATAACTTCTACATGCGTGGAGGTTTTTTGATATAACTCCGGAAAAATGAATGTTCTCCAGAATGAGGGGGAGTGTCGCACGAACAATTCAGGTGTCTGTGGTGAAGGTCAAGGTCACACTTAGGGAAAAAAATACATTTGCGAGTATAACTTCTATATACATGTATGGATTTTAACATAACCTTGCACAAATGTTCTCCGTGTTGTGTTGAGTTGTCTCGAGCAAAATGAAGATCAAGATCAAAAGAGTTGAAAAAGCATATATAAAACTATTAAAATTTGTTTGTTGGCCTCCATTTATCCGATCTAAAGCTTGCTCATTTTTTGAAGGATTACAAAATAATTTGATACAAATGTTCATCATGATAGGTCGGTGTGTCTCACACAAAACTAAGGTCTGCTGCTCAAAGGTCATGGTCACAATTGTGACGAGTGTAGAACCCATGTCAGGGGTGTAACTTCTACATAAACGGAGGGATTTTGATATAACTCGGAAAAAAATGTTTTTCAAGGAGGCGAAGTGTTGCACGAAAAAATCAGGTGTCTGTGGCAAAGGTCGTCAAGGTAACACATATGGATCAAATGTCAAATAACAAAATAAAACATTCATTTGCGGGTATATCTTCTACATACGTAGATGGATTTGAATGTAATTTAGCACAAATGTTCTCCATGTTGAGTGGAGTTGTCCCGTGCAAAATAAAAGTAAAGGTCAAGGACACAAGAGGTCAAAGGTAAAATTAAGATATTAAAATTTGCTTGTTGGCCTGGATTTGTTCGGTCTTTATCTTACTTATTCTTTGAAGGATTACAAAATAATTTGATACAAATGTTCAGCATGATATGTCGGTGTGTCTTACAGGAAACGCAGTCTGCTGCTCAATGGCCAATGACACATTTTGCAGAACCCGTGTCCGGAGTGTCAAGGGCACACTTTGGGGTCAAAGGTCAAATAAAAAATTAAACATTCAATTGAGAGTATATATGCATACATGCATGGATTTTAATATAACTTATACACCTTTATCCTTGATCTGAAGCTAATAGGTTCAGGTTTGAATTAAGCTGAGCGGCCTTGACGTTCTGCCCGTTGGCATCTCTTGTACGATACAAATTTTACATAAGCCCAGCTTTCAAAAATGGATATGGAATAAATTTGTATGACTAAATAAAAGTTTGGCGAAATTTTGACAATTGTTGGTGAGAAATTTAAGTCATAGGCTGACAAATACGTTAAACTTCCGGCAGCAATGCACATAACATCAATTAGTTTTGGGCGGACGGGTTTATTGAGTAGATTAAATTGAAATGGAAACTGAAATAAATTGAATATTTACATTCTTCTACGTTTCTAACCGGAATATACCGCTACCAAACCACTCAGCTTCTTATATAAGTGCTAAAATAACTCAATGAATTTTGAACCAACCAATTGACCCGTTATAAAATTTCGATTTTGGTGGAATCTATAGCGATTGAACTTTAAAATATGAAATAACTACACAGTTACTTTTGATTTGCAAGAGTAGTGATTTTCTGACAGATACAGTTATTATAAATTCGAAAATATCACTTAATGAAATATAACAAGCTGACTTGTAAGAAAAACTTGCCACAGTCCTGTCATCAATCTCTTTGTATTCCTGCTTATATTCCTTAAAATAATTATGGTTACCCTTTTTGAACTTTGAAATCACACAAAAAAATGCATTACATAGAAATCAGTGTTCCGCAGTTGACCTTTTCACTCGACATACCGCCTTTTATCAGTAGAATGAACATTTACTAGATTGGTGTAAGTCACTAAATCTTTATCAGCAGAAAAAGACCTGAGCATGAGCTAAGTCTCTTAGTAGATTTTGCAAAGAGGGTACCGATATGTATATGAACCATGGGGTATGTCTTAACTCATATCATTTCTCCCTCACCATTGCCTTATGTGGTGTATATAGGAGGAAAGCAGTCAGCAAATGCTTGAGTAAGTTGTTTTTACAGTTTTATTTCAAAACTAGATGTCACAAACTTATCAAAACAATATTCATATTGATAAACAAATATATGCCATTTGATAAAATCAACATTTTGAATAAATTATATAGAAGCTATTTAATATCACAGATTTACACATTTAACAGTTTTCACAATTTGATGCAGTTTACTACACAACGAAGAAGTCATCCGTTAACACACGCGCTTAGTCATTAATAAACGTCACGCTAGATGATGACACATAAAATGACGTCACGTCAACGATTCTTTGCGTCACAAAAGACAACACTAATTTTTTCAGTTATTTTGAACTATCTTTTGCAGATCGGAATCCTCGGGCTTTTACGAAAACCTCAACAAAGAATCATGCCAAGAATCGAAAACCTAAGTTAAAGATCCTGGGCGTATTCTATTGAAATGTAATTGTTGTTGCTGTCAACATTTGATATAAATTTACAATCGCAACTACTCGGCCCTTTCCGTCAGTCTTCGGGTTAATATTATAGATAATAGCCGAGGCAGTTCCGAATGATAAATTTATTGTCGTCGTCTGGTCATTTGAAGCCAAACTGCATTGGCAGGGGTCAGTGATGGCCGCAAAGCTTCTTTTATTGGAATCTGAAATAAATAAAATGAATATCTTATTATTCTGAAAACATATTAGGATTATTACTTCAAAACAAAAAAAAAAACAAAAACAAAAAACTTTTTGAAACGCAAAAATAAAGTAGAGTTAATATTATCTAAATTGAATTATATAATAGATTTGTGTTAAAAAAACTATGTTGTACCTCTGTATTTTTGCATGGCATTAGTGTGTACTTTCTCAAAATGTTGATTATTGCTGTTTTGACTTGTATCTTGGCTAAATGTTGACCCGGGCACATTCTTGGACCCTGACCAAAAGGAAGAAAGCTGTATTGATGACTGTCGAGTCGGTTTTCTTTTGAGAATCTGAAATAAGGTTTAGAATCACATAAATATGATGTTTGTATAAAACGTTTACAATTATTCGTTTATAAACTCAAAACCAATGGGACTTAAATCTAAATGAATGGAAAATTCTCTAAAACATTTTTTTAGACATGTACATGTTATGTACTCTTCAAATAATAGCGCCCTCTATGTTTGCCTTAATTAAATGTATACAATTATTCATTTATTATCACTTTGATCTTGACAGTCAAGTCTTAATGGATAAAAACTCCCTAAAATTTCTCGTAGGCATTGGTGTATAAATTCTTAAAATAAAAGCGCCCTCTATCTTTGCCAGGAAGAGTATGCTACTTTATAAGCTTATATAAGATACCATATCAGTTTCGGATAACCTCTGGCATTTACCAATCCTACTTGAAAATGAATATACTGAAATTGAGACTACCTTGTTGCACCTATTGAATTATAGATTAAAAATGAAATTGATATGTGATAAAAATATTTACCTTTCCGGAATGAATTTTTCAGGATGTTCAAATAAGTTCTCGTCCATATACATTGGACTCGTCATCACTCGGACTACCATGCCCTCCTTGAATGTCACGCCCCGAATTTTACAACTTTCAGTACAGACACGGGAAACCCTGAAGAAAAAAAGAAAACTGCTTTGAATGGCATACAGGTGAAACTTGTACGATTTGCAGATGAATTATTTATCTACATGTTAAGCAACTTTTAAATTTGCAATCAACTTGCAAGATAATGAATACGAGTAAGTATGAATATTGGAGGCCTAATGTTAATTAAGTGAATTAGAGCTGATATTAACAATTACTTTCATAAAACTTCATATCTTACCCTGGAGCAATGGGATGATGTCGGTATGTCTCGTTGAAGAACATGTCAAAGTATTCCATGTCTTGAAATGATGTCAGTGGGATATTTCCATCCTATATTAACATATATAGCATTGTAATTATAAACATTATATATAATATTTTCGCTCGTTAATGGTATATAAGATAAAATGTTTTTTCTGAATTAAAAACAATGCTATAAGAATTCACCTTCATTAACAAATGCATTATCAAATCTACATCTTGGTGTTAACACTTGTAAAAAATTAAAACTTAATTACTTTTTAGACTATGTTCATGAAAAATAACATGATAAAATAATGATATACAAATTGTTTTAATCAATAAGAATTGAAAAGTCTCACCTTTCCGCAAAAGCTGCAGATTTCGTCGTAAAGTTTTTCTTGGCAATCCTGATTGCAGGCAAGTTCATAAAGGATGAACTGTATAATCGCCGTCGTCGTGGAGTAAATCTCGCTCAATAGTGACAATATATGAGCAATTGTCTCGTCGATAGTCAAGCCCCGGCGGCCGAGGCTTCCGTCAATATCCCGAAATAGGACTTTGGAAGAAAGGAGATATGATAGCAAACTTTCGTGGTCATCGTCATTTAATTTATTGTTGTTCTGAAAATAAAGAGAGAAATATTGACTACCGTATATACAGATGTATATTTTTTAGGAATTCCGTCTAACACCTCGTATCAGTTCGACAATGTTCGCAGATTTCCGTATAGAGCGTTTAATTGACATGATGATGTGAACGTTGTGTATACTTTTTAAAGTCACGGAATTTGACGAAATATGGCGAATTCCAACGAACATTTTGTATAGAAAATTTTACGACTTTTTTAGAAATGTAAAGAAAATTTTCTAGCATTACATTTGTTAAAAGAAAAAGCACATTAATACGTTTCTTAAATCTTTATTTTTCACGTGTGTTAGATATGGTTAAATATGTTTTTATGAATACCATGAATGTTTCTTTTATAAAGTGCTTACCTGACCGTCAACTGTACTTGTAAGGTATTCTCTAAGAATATCTACGACTTTTTCATGGGATACTTTATGGGCTGTATCTGTCAGTTGTAGAAGTGGAGTAAGAGATGGAAATAACCCTGAAAATAATTATACCATGATAAACTTATAGGACATTTAGTATCGAATTTAAAAGGTTTTTAATTTATTTGAGAATAATAAGTTTTTTCCGAAACAATAAAAAAGTGGTAACTTTGATGTAATATTATTACGAAAATTATAATTATAATTTCAGTGTAAAATTTTTATTTTTTCGTTTTATCTCAAACATACAAAGTGAATGTTTATATCATAGTAAGACTTCAGCCTATTGCTGTTATACTGTCTTTAATATAAGAATGACTAAACATAAATAAGAAAAAAACTGTTCAAAACTTCAAATTTTGATATGGACAACACTACAAAAAATTGTTCGTACAACGCATTTGATTAAGAATAATTTGTACTATTATTAGTAATTCGACGGTCTAGTGCTATAAGGGCGTAAATGCATTTTTGCAAGTTTCGGGAAATTGAAAAAAACTGTCTGCAGACTTTGATCCTTTTTCAATCATGGTAAAATTTGGGACACACTTAGAAAAACTAATATCAACTTTTTTAAAACATTTTTTAAATTAAAATAACCCACCACCATAATAAAAATTCACAAAATCCGTATTATGCCCTTTTAATATTTACATTTTTGTGCATCAGCCAATAATTCTAAAAAGACGTAACTAGCAGTTTCGCTCTTTAAAATTGTTACTCGGACTTGGCTAAATAGGGCGTAACTACCATATATGCCCTTTTAGATTTTAGTGTATTCATTAATTATCAATACAATTCGACGGTCTAGTGCTATAAGGACGTAAGTCGTACTTACGCCCTTTTTCATGTTTTTACGCCATTCGAAGCAGAACGTCATCGCGCACCTGCTGACTAAATATCTTAACTCTAGCATTTAATTTGGCTTCAATATCGAAGAATGATAGGTAGGGCGTAAGTGCATCGAGTCCAAAAGGAAAATTTTATAAGGGCGTAACTACACCATATCTACACCGTTCTCAAATTTTATAAGAGCCTAAGTAGTAGTTAGGCCCTTTTAAGACTTTGATACGTTAGTTCAAACAGATAGTCAGACAGTCACATTTACGCACGTAAGGACTCAATGTCACGAGTCAGGGACATACCTTGACACATTTTAAGGATACGCATTGTAGATAAGGGGGTCCAAGGTCTATTTCCCGTGGAAAAAAAGTTGACAAAAATCATTTGAGTCATCGTCTATGAATTAAATCAAAGTTTAATTACTTTGCATCCGATTGAATAACTGAATCACTAGAAATATTGCATTTCAAACAGGCGCTTTGCATGTTTCGTAATATAAAGGCCTCTAGTTGTACCTATCTATAGTCAGGTGGGTGTGGGAGGAATATCCCCTCCCATAGACCCCAGAAATTTCCAAAAAAGGAAGCAACGGTATTGCATTAAATTGTCTTTATAAACATTCAAAGTTTTGTAATGTTAAAGAATGTATATTCTACCCCTACAGCTTCATGTGGCCAACAAAGAAACCTGAATATTTTTAACAAACGTGTCTTTTTGCAGTAAAAAAAACTTTAGGAAGCTGACAAAATCCACACCTCGTCTGTGTGAGAAATCATTCTGAGATGACAGGAGACATCGTGCATGTCAAGCTTGTAAAATGGCCGAAAAGACCCAGATTACATAAAAGCTAATATTAATAATTTGTTTCATGGGAAAACTGTTAATTAAACTTATTTAGATAAAAACGAAGGTTATTGTACATTGGGCTATTGGACAAACACTGTGTGAATGGAATAGACAATGGAATTGTGACATAGAGTTCAGACACTTTAATGTTAAATACAGTTGACATTGCCTAGTCATAATGTCGTTGATCTAAAGTTGATTGTTAATTACAATAAAATTTGAATTTGAAACTGTTAGCAGTAAAAAATAGTGTATTCTTTCAAAGTTTCAAGTGCTTTTAAGCTTGTATTTGGCAGTTTGTATTAAAGTAATTCAAAATTCCTGGGTACAATATGTATACATGATATACATTGATTCGATGATTATATTTCATTGTGTATTCGATGATTATATTTCATGTGTATTCGATGATTATATTTCATGTGTATTCGATGATTATATTTCATGTGTATCTTATATATATCATTCATTCATGCCTCAATATAGAAAAAAAGATTTTAAGGTCAATTTAATGAAAACACAGTGACTATTCTAAGTCATATAATTATGTAACATTTTAAAATCAAGACTTTTAGTATTGTTTTATTTATCTGTCATGTAACCTTCACATACAATGTCATAGGTTTAAAGACTAAAGATAGTTTAAAACGGTCACTTATTACAATTCATTATTGTTATAGATACAAACAATTGTATAATTGTATTGATAATTAATGAATACACTAAAATCTAAAAGGGCATATATGGTAGTTACGCCCTATTTTAGCCAAGTCCCGAGTAACAATTTTAAAAGAGCGAAACTGCTAGGTACGTCTTTTTTTAAAATTATTGGCTGATGCACAAAAATGTAAATATTAAAAGGGCATAATACGGATTTTGTGAGTTTTTATTATGGTGGTGGACTATTTTAATTTAAAAAATGTTTTAAAAAAGTCGATATTAGTTTTTCTAAGTGTGTCCCAAATTTTACCATGATTGAAAAAGGATCAAAGTCTGCAGACAGTTTTTTTCAATTTCCCGAAACTTGCAAAAATGCATTTACGCCCTTATAGCACTAGACCGTCGAATTATACAATTGTTTGTATCTATAACAATAATGAATTGTAATAAGTGACCGTTTTAAACTATCTTTAGTCTTTAAACCTATGACATTATATGTGAAGGTTACATGACAGATAAATAAAACAATACTAAAGTCTTGATTTTAAATGTTACATAATTATATGACTTAGAATAGTCACTGTGTTTCATTAAATTGACCTTAAATCTTTTTTTCTATATTGAGGCATGAATGAATGATATATAAGATACACATGAAATATAATCATCGAATCATGTATATCATGTATACATATTGTAATCAGGAATTTGAATTACTTTAATACAAACTGCCAAATACAAGCTTAAAAGCACTTGAAACTTTGAAAGAATACACTATTTATACTACTAACAGTTTCAAATTCAAATTCTATTGTAATTAACAATCAACTTTAGATCAACGACATTATGACTAGGCAATGTCAACTGTATTTAACATTAAAGTGTCTGAACTCTATGTCACAATACCATTGTCTATTCCAGTCACACAGTGTTGTCCAATAGCCCAATGTACAATAAACTTCGTTTTTATTTAAATAAGTTTAATTAACAGGTTTCCCATGAACAAATTATTAATATTAGCTTTTATGTAATCTGGGTCTTTTCGGCCATTTTACAAGCTTGACATGCACGATGTCTCCTGTCATCTCAGAATGATTTCGGTGTGGATTTTGTCAGCTTCTAAAGTTTTTTACTGCAAAAAGACACGTTGTTAAAAATGTCAGGTTTCTTTGTTGCCACATAAGGCTGTAGGGGTAGAATATACATTCTTTAACATTACAAAATTCTGAATGTTTATAAAGACAATTAATTTAATGCAATATCGTTGCTTTCTTTTTTAAAATTTCTGGGTCTATGGGAGGGGATATTCCTCCCACAACCACCTGACTATAGATAGGTACAACTAGAGGCCTTTATATTACGAAACATGCAAAGCGCCTGTTTGAATGCAATATTTCTAGTGATTCAGTTATTCAATCGGATGCAAAGTAATTAAACTTTGATTCAATTCATAGACGATGACTCAAATGATTTTTGTCAGCTTTTTTCCACGGGAAATAGACCTTGGATCCCCTTTTTCTACAATGCGTATCCTTAGAATGTGTCAAGGTATGTCCCTGACTCGTGACATAGAGTTCTAACGTGCGTAAATGTGACTGTCTGACTATCTGTTTGAACTAACGTATCAAAGTCTTAAAAGGGCCTAACTACTACTTAGGCTCTTATAAAATTTGAGAACGGTGTAGATATGGTGTAGTTACGCCCTTATAAAATTTTCCTTTTGGACTCGATGCACTTACGCCCTACCTATCATTCTTCGATATTGAAGCCAAATTAAATGCTAGAGTTAAGATATTTAGTCAGCAGGTGCGCGATGACGTTCTGCTTCGAATGGCGTAAAAACATGAAAAAGGGCGTAAGTACGACTTACGTCCTTATAGCACTAGACCGTCGAATTATTAGTTAAGTATTACTCTGCTTACTAACAGTAAACTGTATTCTGCATATATAGGCGGTAACATATTTTACCCACGTGACCAACATGGACTGTGCCGCCTGATCATGCTTTACACTGATTGGTCTAAATAATGATCGGATTTGTTCGGACAAGTTGTTTTAAGATATTAATCGTGGTAAGAGGTTAATAAGTGCATACGTACTAGCTAGCCCCCCAGCTTCGTTTTCTGCTGATGCCGACCAATTACTGCAGACTTTATAGTTATAAATAGCTTCTTTGTGTTTTGTCATCTGATCGTCGTCCATATCTAACAGAATTCGGATAACGCCTTCACAAACATAGTTGTTTACTAACCTGAAGAAAATAAATAAATAGATAAATAAATAAACAAATAAATAAATAATAATAAATAAATAATAAAAAATGAATAAAAAAAATAAGGTGTCTTTATTAATTAAAGTTTCGTTATTAATTATTAATTAATTAAGAAATTCTGCAACGAATTTCTGAACTGATTTCGGACATATACGTGACTTTTCATTCGACAATAATGTCACACAATATCCAGTAAATGCCAAGACATTGAAACATAATTAATGTACTAGGTGAACTAAGGGAAAGAAACAACACACCTATAAATAAGTCAAGGATAGGTCCTTGACCTTTGTTGCTAGTGATGAAAGGGTTAACTGTACCTAGCAATCCCCTTTAGTCAATAAGACTAACTATTCATTTTGAATGCTGCTTGAATGCTGTAAATGATTAAATACACAAATTATTTACCGAGAAATGTTCACTGCTTCTACGGATGTTTTTAATTCCTCTGAAATCAGTTCAATCATATTGTCTGATGTAGTTTGCATCTTTTCCCCGACCTGTAAAACAAACAAACTTATATTAAAACACACACACAATATATTGGCCCTCGTTAAGATTTTCTATTTATAGTAACACAAACGTTTCGTGCGTGCGGCTTTAAACCATTTGTCTGGGATTTTTCTTAACAAGAAATCACACTTCACCAGTGATAGTATTACAGTAAGTTCAAATAAATGGCGATAGTGAAAGGAAAGAAAGCACATCTTTCCGAAGTTACCTCTCCAAAAGTGAAAAAGTCAAAATGACGAAATTGATGCGAGCACATCGTCGCATTGCGTCTCTTTTAAAATGAATAATTATTACGGAAACAAACGAATCATTTACTTTATCAGAGATTTAAGAAATGTCTTCAAATATACGCCTAGTCAATTATAAATAATCTTATATTATTATGCGTACATCAATTCTTTTAACGTCAACATAATTACACAATATACAAAAAGGTTGGGCCAAAAGTTTTTGCAACATTATCGTGGGCCCTCCCCTAAATAATCAATTCTATAACATATAACTTACTCTTTTTATGGTTCCCTTTGAATTCAAAATTTTGTTCAAAACCGCTCGTTGGTATTTCCAGTGCTCGCCTTCGATGTCAATCAGTCGCAGATTGTCAGGATAATACATGAAGGGGCGATAACTCTAAAAATAACAATTAATATTTCCTTAAATTAAATGTTGAATTTTAATGTTAATAATGAATAATCAGTAATGCATGAAATAATGTATAAGTTTTGTTCGTTTCTTAAAATGAAAAATATGTGATTGAATTAGAATAAAATAAAATAAAAAATAATGAATAAATAAAAGAATAAATAAAGAAAAAAAAATGGATGAAAAAATTAAGATAACAAGATGTCTATTAAAACTTACAGTGCGGATATGAAATTTTTCAAAATGTCTACTAAGGATATCTCTTGCAAAGTCGGCATCGTTCAGAACTATTCCTGGTCGGAAGCCTTCGTAAAACCTGTGATAAGATGATGAACATGTAATGCGAAAAGGCAAACGCGATTGTAAAAAAAAGATTGTTTTTTAAAAGAATCACCAAATCTGTGATCCAATCTGATAAAGCTTAAAAATCCTTGTAATGCTTCATTTCTTTCTTAAGATGATTAACATACGGAAATTAACGAATTTTTACGGAATTTACCGAATTATCCGGATTTTCCCGAATTATGACGGAATCTAACGAGTATATCAGAACAGAGTACCTTTAGCTAAATGTCATTATGTTGCTAGTAATGTCAATGTATCTAAAATCTGATAATTCAAGCCACAGCTCAATTGTAAAAAAAAAAGTACTTTCATGGAAAAAGGTGTGTGCATACGTCAATGGCAAATCTTACAGTGTGAATTTTCACAAGTTCCGACAAGCCAATGATAATTGGGGAGATGTCTAAAAATAAGTTCTAGATTTTAAAACGTTACTTACCCGTAAACATTTCCGTACTTCTTTTTCCAGTTATTAAACACATCCAATACGTTCTGAAATGAATTCGATTCCAGGTTAAGTTTTTGTTGTACCTTTGTCGATATGCGTACAATAATTAATTCATTTTACATGTATTTCGGTCGTGCTAATGTTTTCTATTGGAAAACCCTTCGGGGACTGACATTATTGTTTTGACAATCCTCACAATAACATTATCATTGTAATATGAAATAATTGGAATATAAATTATATGTCTTTTATTCGATAAATGACGTACTTTTCTGGTGATTTCTTTTTGTTCTATTTATAACAAACTTTTTGTTCTATTTATAACAAACTATTTGTTTTTTTTTTATAGCAAACGTTTTGTTCTAATTATAGATCCTCTAAGACCGCCCAGAATCTGCCGAATTTAAAATATTTTAAACATTTAAACTCGATTGGATTGAGTTTGAAAATGGATGTTTTTATTAAACAATTTGCTATTCGCGCTTTTTGTATTGGTTAAAAGGAAAGGCCAAATTTAAATATGAAAAACAACGTAAGTAAAATTTAATAACATTTGTCATATCTTGGAATGCTTGTTATACAACCCAAAAGAGTAGCAACTGGTGGAAAGAAAGACAATGGAGTGTTATTTTTTTGTAAGCATTCTGGTATCATGTTATGGTTTTACAAAGATATTCGTAACTTCTTATTGATAATTTAGTATTTAAGTGTAGTAACGAAAGAAGTCGTGTGATGTTTGGATCCTTTTTTTCTGGCGTTAACGTAAAAAACATGGCAATAAAAAACATTTATATTTTAATCCAAAGAAGGGACGCTTTTTACCTTTCCTTTAAACTCCAAACACATTGCCAAACACCCACACCGCGGTTTGCCGACCTTTTGGGCACGCCAAAGTTCCTCCAGTGTCGAGTATAAGTCCTTCATATATCTAATAAACATAAATAAGTAAGATATAGAATACAATGGTTCTCACTTATAGCGAACTTGGATATAGCGAACACTCGGTTATAACAAACAAGTAAGATCAGAGTAAATATAAACAGATCTGTAACTTTTGGGTGTTAATTTGTTTGAGTGAAAAAAAGAAGTTTCCTTCATTACTTATCATCCGCAAACACTTTACTCATAAGGTCGTGTTTTTTTTTAAAAAAAACTCTCCCACCCCCTTCTCTGTTTCAGTGTTGATTTTTTCCATAGACTTTATCAGTCAGTGTTCATAGTTATGTGCAAAAACCAATGTGCATTCAGGCGACAGATACAAAAAAAAATTCTTGCACACCTTCGGCCTTCTCATTCCTTTTGTACGTTCTACATGACATCTTATTATTTATTTTGTACTTTTTACATGACATCTTATTATTTCTTTTGTACTCTTTACATGATCTTATTATTTCTTTTGTACTCTTTACATGATCTTATTATTTCTTTTGTACTCTTTACATGATCTTATTATTTATTTTGTACTCTTTACATGATCTTTATTATTTATTTTGTACTTTTTACATGACATCTTATTTATTATTTTTACTCTCTTTACATGATCTTATTACTTTCTTTTTTTTTACTCTTTACATGATCTTATTAATTATTTCTTTTGTACCTTTTACATGATCTTATTATTTATTTTGTACTCTTTACATGATCTTATTATTTATTTTGTACTTTTTTACATGAGTATCTTATTATTTATTTTGTTCTTTTTACATGACATTCTTATTATTTATTTTGTACTCTTTACATGACATCTTATTATTTATTTTGTACTTTTACATGACATCTTATTTATTTCTTTTTTACTCTTTACATGACATCTTATTATTTATTTTGTACTTTTTACCCTCTTTACATGACACATCTTATTATTTCTTTTTTACTTTTACATGATCTTATTATTTTATTTTGCTACTCTTTACATGATCTTATTATTTTATTTTGTACTCTTTACATGATCCTTTATTATTTGTTACTTTTTTGATATCTTATTACTTATTTTTTTTTACATTGAACATCTTATTATTTATTTGTACTTTTTTACCATGACATCTTATTATTTTGTCTTTTCTTACTCTTTAACATGACATCTTATTATTTATTTTGTACTCTTATTATTTATTTTTACCATGATCTTATTAATTATCCTTACTCCTTTTATGACATTCTTTTAATTTTATTTTGTCTTTTTACATGACCATACTTATTATTTATTTTGTTTACTCTTTCATTTATTATTTATTTTGTACTCTTTCATGATATCTTATTTATTTATTTTTGTACTCTTTACATGATCTTATTATTTACTTTTTGTTCTTTCTTTACATGACATCTTATTATTTCTTTTTTACTTTTTACTGACAATCTTATTATTTATTTTTACTTTTTACATATATCTATTATTTATTTTGTAATTTTTATGATCTTTTATTATTTTATTTTTGTACTCTCTTTTACATGACTCTTATTATTATTTATTTTGTACTTTTTTACATGATATCTTAATTATTTTTTTGTACTTTTTACATTATCTTATTTATTTTGTACTCTTTACATGACATCTTATTATTTATTTTGTACTCTTTACATGATTCTTATTAATTTTTTTTGTACTTTTTACCATGACAATCTTATTATTTATTTTGTATCTTTTTACATGACATCTTATTATTTTATTTTGTACTTTTTACATGACATATCTTATTATTTTATTTTGTACTCTTTACATGATCTTATTATTTATTTTGTTCTTTTTACATGACATCTCTTTTTATGACATCTTTATTTTTACTTTGTAATTGATATCTTATTATTTATTTTGTACTCTTTTACATCTTATTATTTATTTTTGATATCTTATTATTTATTTTGTACTTTTTATCTTATTATGATTTTGTCTTAAACATTATTTATTTTGTACTCTTTACATGATCTTATTATTTATTATTTTTTTCTGTTTATTTCTTTTTACTCTTTACATGATCTTATTATCTTTTTGATCTTATTATTATTTTGTTCTTTTACATCTTATTATTTATTTTGGTTACTTTTTTATCTTATCTTATTATTTATTTCCTTTACTTTTACTTTTTAATACATGATATCTTATTATTTATTTTTGTACTCTTTACATTTGACTCTTTATTTCTTATTATTTTTATTTTGTACTCTTTTCATGACATCTTATTATTTATTTTGTACTCTTTTGTTCTTTTTACATGAATCTTATTATTTATTTTTGACATGACTCTTTACATGATATCTTATTATTTATTTTGTACTCTTTTACATGATATCTTATTTATTTATTTTGTACTCTTTACATGATATCTTATTTTTTATTTTGTACTTTTTACATGACATCTTATTATTTATTTTGTACTCTTTACATGATTTTGTACTCTTTTACTGACATCTTATTATTTATTTTGTACTCTTTACATGATCTTCATTATTTATTTGTTACTCTTTACTCTTTACATGACACTTATTATTTTTTTTGTACTTTTTCTATAGAACATCTATTATTTATTTGTACTCTTTTATTATTTATTTTGGTAACTTTTTACATGACATCTTATTATTTATTTTTGTAACTCTTTACTCTTTTACATGACATCTTATTATTTATTTTGTACTTTTTTACATGACATCTATTATTTATACTTTTTACAATATTTTTTATTTATTTTTTACTCTTTACATGACATCTTATTATTTATTTTGTACTTTTTACATGACATTCTTATTATTTCTTTTTTACTCTTTTACATTGATCTTATTATTTAATTTTTTTACTCTTTACATGACTTCTTATTATTTATTTTGTACTTTTTAAACATGATAATCTTTATTATTTTTTTTGTTTCTTTTTACATTGACATTCTTAAATTATTTTATTTTGTACTTTTTACATGATATCTTATTATTTATTTTGTACTTTTTATACCAAATTTCTTATTAATAACTTTTAAAACATAACCTGTGTTTAGACAGACAAGCACATCACCAAAAGAATGCCAGTACAAGATACGGAAATTACGGTCCAAGGTAACAGGGCCATCTGTATCTTTGGGGCAACAGCAGCAACATTCAGCAAGCAGCGGTTATTCAGCCGAATCTTGCCTTTTTAAAGCGCTTGGGTCTCTTTTGGCTGCAATCAGGAAAATTTGTAAATTTAATAAAACAAGAGTAAAGCCCCTCCTTCACATATTAGTTTCACCCAATAGGAGTCTTTACCTATATAATTAGTATTTCTATAAAATTAACTTATATGTTTTGTGGAACGGACGCATTTGGCTTTTCGATTTTGCTGACGTCATTGTCCATTTTCTTTCGCACATTATTTCGAAAACTTGCGGAATAAGTTTAATGAATATTTAATTCGGGTAATTGAAACCCCCTTAAATGTAACAAGAACGTATGTACCATCGCCGTCCATTTTCACTGGGTTAAGAAAAATATACCATATTTTAAAATACTGTTACAAGATTGGTCTTTTTTACTATAAGAAAAATTTTAAGTTGCATTGTCCCAAAATGAATGAAATCTGTACGTTGAATTCAATAATATCATATTTTAATATATTTTGTTTTTGCAAGTTTTTCAATTTGGCTTGTTTTTTGAAAAATGAGGGGAAAAGGAAAAGATTCACAACATAATGAGGAAATGTTTCCGCGCTATACTCGTATTACTGAAAAGAAAATAAATGTGGTTTTTGGGGTATTTTCCTGCTTTTTTGTTCGTTAAAAATGAAATGCGAACGAAAGGGAACGAAACGAACAAACGAAACGAACGAAAGGACGGACGGACGGACGGAATGGAACGAAAATTAAAATTAGTTTTAATAATGTAATAAATACACCATTGAATAGTTACCTAACTTGGCAATTTACGTAGATAAACAACTGTTTTATCTTTTTTTTAATTTTTTTTAAGCATGATTAGATAAAGTAATGATTTTAAGATTTTTAAGACTTAAGAAAAACTACAGGTATTTGTTATACTAAAAAAAAAGACAAAGTAAAGTAGAAAAAAAACCAAACAAAATTTTTAAAAAAGCAACGAAAAAATTGCTTATTCATGGGTTTAAAGTAAAGTTGAGGTATTTGTAAACTTATACACTCCGGTTTTTAAGAATTTATATTTAAAAATTTGATAAAAAAAGATAAAGGATAGGAAAGTGATAAAGGCTATTACGGTTAATATCCCGGGTAAACATCAGTATTTTTCGGAAGGAGTGTCTTGCATTTAAAAAAAGGGCTTGACATAAAGGCGCGCCAGACAAAACCAACAAAAGGGGTTTTGCGACCAGCATGGATCCAACCAGCTGCCATCCCTGTTCGTTAAAAACCCTATAACAAGTAGAGAAACGATAGCGAACAGCAGGTTTTCCGATCAGACGCGCGAATGGCAGGCTGGTCTGGACCCATGCTGGTCGCAAACCATTATTTTGGGTTTTTCATGGCGCGATAAAATTTTTTTTTTCAATTCAAAACCGCCCAATTAGCATTGCTAGTACATGTTTTAAAAAAATTTTTTCAGATACATGTTCCATAATGATGTAAATGAAGTAAAGACCTTTTTTTTAAAGTGGATTTTAACAGCCTATATATTGGAGAAGAGACTGGAACAGTTAATAATATCCAAACATGAGCTACTGAAAGCTGTGAAATGACATGGGGCGGTTGGGGAAATTTTAACATTGATGTGCCACAAAACTAACATAATGGGTTTGCGACCAGCATGGATCCAACCAGCTGTGGCTCATTTGATAAAAATGAAAAGCATGCTTTTTTGTTGAGAAGCATTTTTTTTATTTTCTTAAAATGTAATATAACTTTTTAATTTCATTTCTTGTTATAAAA